TTTTACCCTTCAACGCGTATGATATTCTAGACGTTGATGGGCCTTGGGCCCACACATTTTATGATTCTGAAAGTTTGGTTTGGGTCGATATTATATTATACCTATTTTAGGAGCCATTATTCATATTGAAAAAAACCAACAAAATATTGTATAAAGACATTTAAAAGAAATTAAATTTAAATAATAATGTACCCTACAATTTCCCTTCTGTTAAGAATGTAGGATAGCAACTACTCGTAATTGTGTTGTACATTTGTACTCATCAATTTAATCTACAGTTTGGGTGTGTATTATTCGTGTGATGTTGGGTCGTGTTTAATTATATCGACCAACCATGTTAATAGAGGTTTGGTATTTTAGGATTAGTATAGGGTAGGAAGATTGAATTATTGAGTGACGATTGGAGGAGTGATAGGCCATGCATTTGTGTACGGAATCTTTATAGATACGGGTATTTTATGGTATATGTAGAGGTATTTTTAGTGGGGATACAAAAAGATGTGCATGGTTTCCAAATTTGTGGGATCATGCAGTTGTAGTTCATGTCTACTACGGTGTACTTAGACTATGGTACACTAAAGAAACAATTTGTGTTTTACTATTTTTTTTACAAAGATTTAGAGATTTTGTGCTCTAAAAGTGTATAAGACATTTAAAATTTTGCTGCAATTTATCTGCATGTAAGAGTATTCGACCGGAGTATGCCATGCATATATTTTGTTAGGGTAAACATTTTTTGTAAGATAGGGATGATATAAACAAAAAATTGAATATATTTATAAGAAAAAATGGTTTAGATTAATTTGTGTGGTTGACCCATGCTGCTATGTTTGATTTATAAATAGTAGAAATTAATTAATTTGTTTGGTTAAAAATAGTGTTTTCTCGAATGGGAAATAAGTTTCCTTGAGTAATTATGAGGACAGCCAAGAGTTGTTTCTACTCTCCTCATCCTTTTTTTTTTGTTTTTTTTTTTTGAGAAAACTCTCCTCATCTTAGTCATCTCCTTTGTGTGGACATGATGTATATGCAAGTAGCTTTCTTAGTTGTAAACATACTAAACCCTAATGTCACCAAACGGCTAGTCTCGTTCAATTCTTAGTCTACTTTTAAAAGTCACATTATTACATCTCACTAAAAAACAATTTTAAAAAGTGAAGTTACTTGAAAGTAATCAATAACACCCCATTAGGGTTGATAACATCCCATTAGGGTTGATATTTGACAACCTTCTTTGTTGGGTCCTATTCATGTACTGTAATTTTGTACTATATTTTTGTTTATGTCATAATCTACTTTTAATTCATCACTAAAACCAAAATTAAGGTTTTAATGACAAAGTTATGTTCTTGAGAAAGACAATTAATTGGGTCTTATTCTTGTACGTGTTTATGTACTAATAATCTCAATTATAAACAATCATGCTTTTATAACGACCAATCTAATTTTTTTTTTTTTTTTTTGATTAATTCAATGTATAAAGTTAGTAATAATCATTCTTTAATGAGAAGGATTGATTAAACCGAAAATAGGGAAAGAGTATAATATAATAAAAAAAAAGAGAGGTCATGTTAATGACGTTTATGATTAATTGATTAGTGCTAAGTGTAGATTAGATGGTCAAATAGACCGTTCTAAAGTTTTTATTCTAGTTGTATCAACATGATTGAAAATAATTATCATGTTAATTTTCTTTGCTTGTCAACGTAAAATGATTGAAAATAACGGTTGTATTAGGATTATTATCATGTTCATGTTCATGTTCAGTTAATGTGTATTTTTATAAAATTAACCTTTAAAATTTTATTAAGGTGAAACTAAAGATATGAATGGAAAAAATATACTTAAAAAGCCGCATATAATATAAATGAAAATAATATTTTAAAACGAAGGGAATGGGTGGTTTTACTACAAGTATATTTTTCTTAACTACAATACAAATTCTTATATGAACCTGGTTCATACTAACTTATTGTGGACCAATAATATTAAAGACAATATGATTGTTTTATTAATAAAAAAAAAAGTCACTATATTAAAATAAGGCAAAATTGGCCGCAACACCCTGAAGTATGGCTTAGGTGCACTGACCACCCTAAACTTTGCATAGTAGCCAAAACACCACCAACGATGATGTTGGGTTCGACGCGTGCCTTAAAATGGAAATTTACTGCCACTTATTTCACCGGATTAGTTGAATCTTCACTCTCCAGAACACTTATGTTGTCTTCCATATACTTGGCACGCGTGGATTTACTTCCTCCGATGAAATTATTGGCCGGAAATTTTCATTTAAGGCACACGTCGCACGTAGCACCATAGTTTGTGGTGTTTTGACTACTACGCAAAGTTAAGGGTGTTCAATGCACCTAAGCCATACTTCAGGATGTTGCGGCCAATTTTGCCTTAAAATGAAGGTTATTATGTTAAAATAAAAGTCATTATGGCATTATAAAAGCTATAAAAGGTTAATTTTTTTTAATGAAATTTTTAATATACCGGTTAATATGAATAATAAAGGTCACTATGTTAAAATTAGGGTCACTATATTCAACATAACGTCATACTTTAGGTTCACAACAACAATAAAGGTCACACAAGTTTTAATAAAGGTTACTATGTTAAAATTAGGGGTCAATATATTCAATATAACATCAGTTGCGTGTATATAAACCTTAGGTCATTATTGTGGACCAGGTCCATCCAAGATTTTCTGTAACTACAGCTCTTAAGATTTTTTAAAAGAAAGAATATGTTTTAACATAAAATTTATTCTCTTTCAATATGTTTTCTCCAATGATGGGACTGTAGAAGTCCCAAGAAGGATAATACAGTAATGTTTCTAATCAAATCATCATCATTATCACTTACTCCTTACGTTCCACAAAAATCTTCCAATTCAATTAATATAGATTCATGAACCTACTTGTGTTAATCCCTCAGTTCTAGAATTACTGCCTAATAACTTTAACTTTATTTCCACTATTATTGACTACTTTTTGTGATTAAAAGATAAATAATAATACTTGTAACCTACTCATGTCAGATTTCTTGTTGGAATCATGTTAATATGTATTTCAAAATATCATCATTTTACATTTTTACTTGTTGATAATTATAGCTATTTCTTTTTAAAAAAAAAAAAAAAAAATTTATAGTTATTTACGGATGAATTTATGCATTGACAAACGTGTTAAAAGAATTGAAGTGTGTAACCTAATTTGAAACGAAGAAAATATTATAATATATATCTAATAATATACTTGTGTGAGATCTTGTTAGAATCCTATTAATGTGTATTTCAAAATATGACTTTTTTGTATTTATTAGTTGATAATTAGAGCTATTTACGGATGAATTTATACATAGGCAAACATGTTAAAAGAAGTGTGTCATCTAATTTGAAGTATAATATATATCTAATGTGTCATCTATTTGATTAATGTGAATATTTTTATTTACTAATAATAGTATATGTATGCGGTCAGACCCATGCAAATTTAAGTGTGTCAATTTAATCTAAAATAAATAGTAAACGTGTTAAGAGGAGCTATAGAGTGAAATAAGGGGAAAAAAAAAATTATAATCAATGCAAATAATTTACTCACAATTGAATGTCTATGGCGGTTGTGAGTGATTATTTGTATAGACAACTCTTGAAGAAAACTAGCTAGTCTCACAAGAATAACAAAGAAATAAATTGAAATGGATAATGAAATGAAATTTTAGGTTATTTATCTTTAGTATTTCTTATTGTAATCGGCCTTGAAGAGGTGATACATTTTTTAAGAAAATCAAAATCAAAGTCCACCTTATTATTTTTAAATAAAAGAATGTGTTTTTAAAGTCATTTCTCCGTCAAGTGAATACTCCCTTTGTCCCTAAATTTTTGCCCCATTGCAAAAATTTGGGTCAAATTTTATAAACTTTGACTATAAAATACTCTTAATTTATAAGTGATAATATAATCATGTGGGATTTTGTTGGATACGTCTCATTGTACATTCTATTGATATTTAGTTTTTATAATTTTTACACGTGTGAAATGGAGATATAACCGTTTTAAGACACTTGTTGGAGACCGCGAAAAGTCAAATGGGGCAAAAAATTAGGGAAGAAGGGAGTAACACATAAAATTAACTATTCATCTTGTCTTTTTATATAAGAATTATTTGTCTTATAAAAGAAACTTTTAAATAGATACGTAGAATAATAATTCAATGAATTGTAAAACAAATCCCATTATGCCCCTATAAATGAATATATATGAAAAAATAGAAAATTAAATGAATATATTTGTCATATTCTTATATTTATCACACCTTTAGCTTCAATAGTTGTAATAGATTCACGAATTACTTGTATAAAATAGAAATCAATATTACGACTTAATAGGATTATCTAAAATAAAGTAAAATGAATAGACCTTTTCAAATCCCAAATATAAAAAGTTAGTCGAACTTTAAAATTTGAGTGGAATACTTTGAACTTATGAAAGGAAGCCACAAGGTTAAGATTAATCCTGAATAGCCAAATGGGCAAATAGTGGTGACAGCCTTTGGCCAAACCCAGACAACTTCAAACCCTACTGTCATTAAATCCAATCCAAGTAAATTACAGCAACTTAATAGTAATTATGGAGTTTATGGTAACACACCTATTAAACCAAATATAGTTCTTTCCTATGATAAAATTTAAGCATAGTATTAAATTAAATGATTAGATGATCATAAAGACTGTCAACATAGGTAGTAAAATAAAATTGGCAGAAACATTCCACAAAATCATTTAGTATGTGATACAATTTGTGACCACATTTCCTATTTTTCTGTCACCCTTTTAAGAAGTGGACCAAAACCCTGGGAAGTAGGGTTTCAATCTCAGATCTTGTTACCGATAATGACAGACAACGAGAGCTCCAGAAAAAAAAAAAAAAAAAAAAAAAAAAAATTATGTAGGGTTCAATAAAATTAAACACACCATTAGAAAGATAAGCGAAATAATAAATAGATGTTTAAAGACTTTTCCCCTGAGTATGTGTAGTCCTTTTCACTTTCCAAAACAAAATTAGATGGATTAAATCGTATGACTAGTGCTATAAACTTTTAGATTAACTGCAAGTGATATATCAATGTCGAGTGGATGAGCAAGGGTTACCAAACCCCAGAGAGCCACAATATACCGTACGTGGCTTTTTTTTGGTCTAGTGACGGGTGAGTTACCAGATAGATCCATCAAAGGACAAAAACTTCAAGGAAGATGCCGAGGGTGATAAATGGGTTGAAACTTGAAAGTATCTTTTGGAACTTGGGACAATCATTTTCGAAGCCAACCAAGAAGCTTTAAATTGGGAAAGATAAGTTAAATGAAACGGACCTCTTACCACTTGGGGTGGGTCTTGACCAAATCACCAAACATATCACATGCCCCATAATTGTCTTCATGTATTTGCATTATATGCAGAGTTGTCAACAGAAAGATGAAGAAGATTTACAACCGTACGTCCTTTCACTCGACATTTATGTATTAACAGTGACCCTCCTCTTCTTCCTCTGTCCTGTGACTCCTGTCAGCTTCTCCTCAATCTTCTTCCTCTTTTTTATCTGCTCTTTCTTCTTCTTTTTTATCAGCTCACCCTTCTTCCTCTTTTTTATCTGATTGTGTACCGACTTCCCTACCAAAGAGGGCTGGTCTTTCAAAGCGAAACTTTTAGCAACATGACCCAAATGGAGTTTCTGCCTCACAAATATCTTTCTTAGCTCTCCTCTACGGGTTGTGTATCCTCGGATCCAAGAAACAAATGAATCCTGAGCCATTGTCTTCAACTTTGACTGACATGAGTGTTTAGGAAACATCAGTCCAAGGAACAAAATTGAGCATAACAACTTGCAGAAGACTATTGGACTGAAATAAAACACTTTTTTTTTTTTAACTTTGTTTCAGGAAGGGGGGAGGGTGGGGTCAGGCAAGCTGTACAGATGAAATACCAGATAAACAGAGGAAGTATGACAGGAAATTTTGGAAGAAACACATCTAACGGCTTGTTTAACCTGATGTCATGGATAAGGGAACAGTAACTAGTTTGTACACAATTATTAAGAGAGTTTCCAATTTAATTGTACGTCTGTGAATGCACATATCCATCACCAAATAGATAACTTATCTAAAATTCATTTTCATTACCATTAAAAAGCAGCATGAATGTAGTGATAAAAGGCAATGAGAATCTAAAATAATGAATGCTAATAAAAAAACAACGAAGTGGAAGAACCAAAAACACACACTACTTTATGTTAAAGACGCATTGGCATGGAACATTTCATTGAAAGCTAAATGGGCTGATTACATGTTTATGACCCAATCTGCTATGGTTTAGGCTTTTGAGGTTATATAAGATAGTTCTCAACCACTTGAAATGTCTTTGCAATGATTATCAATTAACAATATATGCTACGCAGCCAAGGTTGTCAAAATATGCATCAGTGGATCTAGGATCAGACCTTAAGATCTTTCCTGAGTATGTGAGTGAATAATTGGTTGGGTATGCTATGCCCTAATCTTTTTGTTGATTAGATAATTGAGGTTGGGAAGGAAACCTAAACCAAAGAGTATCTGTTTATTTACTGTGTTGAGGTCTTGTCCTAAGCCTATGCACAAGGGCAAGAAAAGGTAGTCCAATCCCGGCAAGACTGATCAATCACAGTTATTATGCGAGTTATGATCACATCATATACCAATATACAAAGTGAATATAATGGCCAAAAGCATACCATACCCAATATCACAATGCTACCACACCATCTTTAAATACAATTTGGTACGTGATAGGAGGCAATCCTGATCTTGGTGAGAAAAAAACAGCACAAGGTTCAGGGAGTAATTTCAGCATATGTTAAGAGACCTGGATGATGATTCTAAAATAACTTTTTCCCAAAAAGCACAATGAGTCATCAATCAGTTAAACTTGTACTTGGACCTACAATAATTAGGAATGAGTAACATTCATACATAGATTTTACTGGATCATATTTGGAGTGGAGCATGAACTATTAAAGCTAAGAACAAGAACAGTAAACAAAATACCTGAGAGGTAATAAATCCCTCGAGAGCCTTCTGTAGACCTATTAGCCAGGGATGCATTTCAATTGATACAAACTTCCTTGAGAAGTGCTTCTGACCGTACAATGGGAAGCTATCCAATACCTTTTGCAGTGGATACTCTGTTAACAAGGCACCATGTTTTTCCAACTCTTGCAAATAGTCATATTCAATAGGCTGCAGAAATAATAAAGAATCTCCCTTCTGGCCCAAACGAGCTGTTCTACCAACCCTGAGTTTTTCAAAAACCAAGAGCCATAATAAGAAGCCCCGTCAATTTTCAACATTAAACACATTGGTATACAGAACCAACACACTAACAAGCAGCAGAGAAGAAACAATTGAATCAAATAAAGAATAAAGATACAATAGAATACACACAATTAGACCACGAACTATAAAAATGTATTTAACATACGAGATTAGATGCAAAGCAAGGACATACAATGCTTCTAAGTAAAAGAAGTTTTGTAAGCGCTATATTGCATGACAAGATGCAGAAAAAGAGCATGTGAGAGTAGCCACAGAGAGATGCCTCATGTTACAAAAAATGAAATATAAACAAGCATACAATGCATAGATTACACACCTATGAACATATTCAGTGGCCTCTCCAGGAGGATCATACTGTATAATACATGTAATTTCAGGGACGTCCAAGCCTCGAGCAATAACATCACTACATAAGAGAAGAGCAGATTTTTTTGCTTTAAAGGAAGAAACTGTAGTTTTCCGCTCATTGTTCTCCATGTTCCCATGTAAGTGGAAAATCTCCCAATTCAAAAATAGCTTCTTCTCTTTGGTTTCTTTTGCAAAATTAGGCAGCCACTGAAACTCCTTAAAAAGTTCGTAGTGAAAGTCCACAGCATCACAAGTCGAGAAGAAGACAACCACCTCCATTTTTATAGGAAAATTAATATATAGTTAGTAAATAGGATTTAAGAGGCATATCTCAAATAATAATTAAATGATAAGCGGCGTGGGGGGGGGGGGAGAACAAGTCTGATACAGAGATAGCCCGGTAAGTAAGCCACTTGAATGGAAATATACATGTTAATATAGACACACAATAAATGGGAATTTTTTTCAGTACATTGATAATTAAACAGTTTAATAGCAAATTGGGATAGTTTTTCTTCACCTAGACTCAATAAAGATAACTCAACAGTAAAGTGTAAAAGTTGCAAAACAGAAAGAATTCCTTACGTACTTGCATGCCTTTATGTTTTGAGGATTGAAGGAAGATTCTACATTGCCAAAGTAACAAGAGTAATTCAAGATAAACTATGAAAAGAGAAGAAACCTGGACATATAAAAAAATGTAGGCAGTATAATTTATGAAGGGCAAGATATAGATCAACTCCAAGTCTAGAACTACAAGGAAATCAGTAGAAAAGATAGAATAAAACCCAACCTTTTGGGTAGCTTGTCCTTCAATAAGATTCTTGAGAACAGAAAGAAGAACTGCAAGCCGTGAACCACATGGCACTAAGAAAAAAAACGGTCACTGAATTTTTTGTGTTTAAGACTGGTTAGCACAAAAATCAACCTTGGATTCACAAGTACCTTTGACATATTTCTGTGTTAGTTGAGAAGGGAGGTTATAATCTTCATTGAAGTCTTTAACTTTCTCAATGTGTTCTGCTTCATCCTCAGATCCTAAATGCTTGGAAGACGAATTTTGATGGAGCTCCCTTTCATCAAGACCAATCATAACTGGATTTTCTAAACTAATATTAGCAAGATGATTGACCTTGTCATTTAAAGTAGCTGATAAGAGCAGATTCTGCCTTTGAAACTCAAATTTTCTAGAGTTCCCACTTTCTTTATCATTAGACCCGCTTTGCCTCGAGCCAAAATGATCAAGTATTTCTTCAATTGCTTTACCAAACCCCATTTCTAGTATCCTGAATAAACAGTGTACTCAGACATGAGGTAAAGAACATGACAATGTATTGCATGTTATGGGTTATCAAAGAGAACTCCATAATTACCTATCCGCTTCATCAAAAATCAACCAGCGCAAATTAGAATACAAGAACGATGATGTGTTCTTTAAGTGATCCAAAAGGCGGCCAGGAGTTGCAACAAGTATAGATATACCTGTAAACCCCACACATGAAATAAATGATAATAAAAAAAAAATTACATCAAGTCAAACATTCATAGGTATGCAGAAAAGAACATAATTAAAAGTCAATCAGCATTGCATATGCAAACAAAAAAGTGATTCAAGGACATTGTTGATCAATTATTGTGGCTTAGCCGTGCACTTGTGCCAAAAGAATATATCAGCCACGATATAAAGTACATCATAAAACACTAATTGAAGAAAGTAACTGCTAAGGGTGCACAGACAAAGCGGCTTGTGAATAGTTTGGAATTGGCTACGTCAAAATTCAATTCGAGCTTGTTCACTTGTTACAGAGCTGAGTTTGTGCTCAAATTATAGTACAAATCTGAACAAGACAATCCCAGACTCAATTATATCCAGCTTTGTGAGATTGTTTATTTAGAATAAATAATAAAAATCATATTATTGTTTTATAAAAAGATATACTTCCTCCATTCCCTTAATATCGCAACATGGAGGTTGGACACGAGGATGAGAGAGAGAGAGGGGGATAAAGAAAAGGACCCATGTGAGGAGAAGAGAGAGAGAAAAAACGTACAAATATGAAAATGCTGCAATATTTATGAAACTTCCTAAAATGGTAATTGTTGCAATTTTAGTAAGAACAGAGGAAGTATGTTCTTTCTATGAAGCACGGATACAAGGGTACTCCACCAAATAGTCGTCTCACATCCTCGATATGGCTCTCTAGGACAGGATGGTACAATTAATGCTTAAAAGTCCTTGGACATCTCAAGAAACAGGGTACAATTACTGCATAAAAGTCCTCGAACGTCTCAACAGACAACGGATATAAAATCTATTTATGTAAGGGTTACCCCTTGACAGTGGTGTTCTGGAGCTTAATACAGATGAGTTGAAAATTTTCTTCAATTCAAATTGGGAGGAGTGGATTAAAGAAAATAAAACTGTACTACATACTTGGTTATCTATGTTTTACATTTTTTATGACACATTTGGAAATACAGAATCTGGATCTTATTGCCACAAACAATGCCATTCAGACACAGTAGCAACAATTTGTAATCCCCATCCGTAGTGTCCTCTGTAGCAGTGTAGCCTACTAAAAATAAACAGAACATGAAAATACTAGACCAGCTGCAGGAAGGTAATTAAATATATTGATTCTCCTATACTGCCCCTTGCTTTCTCAGTGTCATACAGCTATGCAAAATAAGCAGCATATATGATCTAATTATCACAATTCACAGCATATGAGAAGCTAAGCTCTCACCTTTTCGCAACCTCGCCTTTTCTTTTGACCTATTTTCACCTCCCATTAGGTATCCTGGAACGATCCAATGAAATCGGTGCAGAAGCTTTTGTAGAGTTTCATAAACCTGTGTACACAACTCATGCGTAGGTACAAGTACCAACGCTGTTGCCACACTATTAGTTATATAAATAAATTCGTCAATTCGATGGTAAATGCATCTGCACAATGTGTTAATAGTGCTGGAGCATGCATCATCTGGTAGAGTAAGGAAAACACAATTATCACTACCAGCAACAACAGTTGAATAGAGCTCTGTAACCATTGATTGTCTTTTGGCAATAATACTAGACTCACAATTTAGTCATGTGGCAACAAGAGACACAAATTGGGAGTTTTTCTTCCCTACCCCATCCCCTCGATCAAAGTAAAAAAATCTCACTTGATCCTGTGCATGACTAGAGGAGTAAAAATCAAAAGGAAACATAAAAAAAAAAAAATAAAATAAAAAAAAAAAAGATGCATTCACTTCATTAAAAAAAGGCATGTACATATATCCATGTCAAACCCTTCACAATAATCCTTGGTTTGAAAAAAAATATATACCCATGTCAAACACTTCACACTCCGCCAAGGGCATGGAATCCTTACCCGACACTTACAAAATTCACCCGAAACTTCAATTATTTTGAGCTACAAATTTGTAAAGAAACAACACAAAATGTGAAGGAAAGAGGTGAGAGAATTGTGATGAATATCCTCATAGAAGGGCTTGAAATAATTTGATAAGAACTTGCAAACGAGTCAACCTCAGATGTTTGTATATGTAACGGTAACGAAAAGCGCATGCAGTCTTTGGAATCAGAGATATGTTTAATGGATGCCATGACATGCACCCATGTCCTGTTTAAGCATAATGCCCTTGCATCTAGAAATTACAAGCCCTAACATGCTTGAAACTTTGATGATCAGATACCCCCACTTTCCCACTGCCTTTCTCCCATCCTCCAAATTATAATTCAGACTGTGAGGGTACAGGTACACTACAATTTTTATCAACAAACTGCACCACAATCAATTTGGACAGTGAAAACTAGCATTATCAACTTCAACTTCAACTTCTTAACCACCTTGACTAAGTTAGAATAACTAACAGGTAGTGCTGTTTACACCTTCTGACCATCCCTAACCCACCAATATTGGAACAGAAGTCGAATTACCGATACGATAAAATCCTAATATAGATTTGTTCAACCAAAACTAGAAATCCCCAAGTCAAATTCCACACTTCAGAACAAAATCAAGTAATTTATAAATAAAATCAAAACTCTCAATTCTTACACAAACACAACTATAACAATCAATTAGCTTTTAAAAACAAAAATTCAAAAAATTAACGACAGAATACTTACCAAAAGTACCATCAGCCCTCTGAATTCGAGGCTGGTATGCCTGTAAGTGATGAATAATTGGAGCCAAATACGCAATAGTTTTACCCGTTCCAGTTGCTGCATTAACAAGTCTATAAACAATCATACCCATTAAAGAAAATCAATAAACAAACAAAACCCAATTCATCAAAACCTAATAAAACTTCAATTAAAATTGGGAAATGCAGTAAAAACATACACATGGCAGCCAGATAATATAACAGGAATTGCTTTAGCTTGAACTTGAGTAGGTTTTTCGAACCCCAACCTCTCTAAATCAATGAAAAATTAACATTATTTAATTAGAAACAATACAAAATTATGGAATTGCAAAATTAAATTGAAAATATGAGGAGATAGAAAACAAAAATAAAACCTTGGAGTTGGTTGCATAAGGAAGATTCGAGGCCAAGGCTGGAGAATGAGCATGATGCGAAGATATTGTCGCTGGTTTTAGGTTGTTGTTGCTTCGGAGTTTTCTGGGTAACCTCCATTTTTGTGGTTTTAGGTTGCTGTTGCTTCGAAATTTTCTGGGTAATCTTCATTGTTTTGGTTTTAGGTTGTTGTTGCTTGGGAGTTTTCTCGGTAATCTTCATTTTTGTGTTTAAGATGTTTTTGAGTGGGGGCTGAAATTGAATATGCGAGTGTATGCAATGAAGAGGAAGAGGGTTTATCGGTATGGCACTATGGCTTTCCGGGGGTTTAACTCCAACTAGGGAGTAGCGGGACAATTGAGGTTTTAGATTTCTTTTTTCGAAAAAGTCGAAGTTAGTCGAGTGCTTTCCCTTAATAATGCCGGTGAATGATATTACGGAATACTCCGTATTCATTTACTCCTTATTAAAATATAACTGTCTAATATTTCCAGAAAAAAAATGCATTATCAAATTATTTAATTTTTTTTTTTTTTGCGGTAAGATACGGGGGGTACCCCACCCTATCACAAGAAAATGGGGGATGAGGATCGAACCCCCAGCCACTTGGGGGGAGATGGAGGGACTAACCATCCTTCCATAAGGTGAAAAGTGTGTAGTGTGAGGTGCAAGCATTATTCTTCAAAAAAAAAAAAAAGTGCAAGCATTAAGTTTTCTTTTCCCGTCTCTCTTTTGCATTAAAAGTTTTCTACTCTCATCTAGAGCTGGCAATCTCTGACACGACATGACAATATGACCGAAACCAGCACGACACATACACGGAGTTACTGAGAGAAAACACGAAGTCGACACGACTCGAAACCAACCTAAATACGACCTATCTATGTAATATATAAAGAGAAGAGGTGTTTTTGGTTGGGAATTTTTGAGTGGACTATTTTACCCTCTCTACAAATATTTATTATAATTAAAAAAAATTAAAATGTATTTAAAATTTAACCTTAAAATATAACTTCCATTTTTAACTACTCCATAAATTTAAAAAGATAACTTCTCTTATGGTGGTTATTTTTTCTCATATCAAATAATTCCTTCAAGTGTAGTTATGTTATATGGTATATTAGTGTAATTCAAGAATACTTATTTGATGATATAAATTTGACACTTGGTGTTTTAAAAGTCGGTGTTTGTAAGTTTGCATAGGTTTTTTCAACTTTTATATAAGTATAAAAGCAACATACTATAATTTAATTAGAAGTAAGAATATTTACATTGTACACATATTTTACATGAATAATTTATATTATCCAAGTTTAGAGGCACACGCAATGCGTGCACGACTATTCCCTTTAAATTTACTTAATCATTTGTAAATATAATACCTTGAATGGGTTCAATTCATCCTTTAAAAAAAATGAGTATGTATGTAATTGTAGAACTAATATAACAAATGCACTGTAAAATTTAGGATTGTTTTGCATGGTTAAAAGCTAATCCCTTTAATAGATCCTTACCTTTACTAATTATAAAAAATACGGAGTAATAAAATTATGTCAATATATATACCATGTACGCAAATAAGTAAATTAGAAAGATAACTTTATGCACAAAGTATAAAGAGGGGGAATAGTCGTGCACGTATTGCGTGCGCCTCTAAACTTGTTTAGATAAAGTAGTCATATTATGCAATTATTCTACATTTCACATAATTTTTGTGAACATCACGAAATTGACACGACACGACACGACTTTTTACCGGCTCTATTCTCATCTCTCTTACGCAAGTTTTCTTTCATTTCTTTTATTTGCTTCTCCTCTAACTTTTTTTGTTTCTTTTCCCGCTCTCTCTCCTCTCTCCCTTCTGCATAGCTGATTCAATATTAAAATTCATTAAACAATTTTTCGTCAAAAACTGCTACTTCAAGTTGCTCGATGTACGTACTTATTGAACTGTTTTAAAGGAAGTATGATGTTCTTAAAAACAAAAGGCGATCTCTTATCTCTTGATACGTCTGCTCAAAAATGAAACTTCACGTAACAGTTTTTAGGTTCATAAACTTTCAAGCTTATAAAGGAGGGTAGCTCAAGTGTGTTGAGTGTACTCCTTAGTGTTGTCGTGACTCGTGAATACAATTGAGAAAATATATACGAGGGACCGTATTTAGGAATTATGAATAATTTATAAGGGGGATGATAAGAGATTTTCACCCCTAAGTACCACAGCTTAGAGCATTCGATTTTGTGACCTTAAGGCTATAAGGTATATTGATATGATTGTACTTATAAGGTATATTCTTCACCAATTACACTAAGTATTGCTTGGTAATTAGGTTATTTATGTGATTTTGTCTAAATTATGTTATATTGTTGGACTTTATTTATACTAATGTTGTTTTAAATAACCTAAATTTCCCGTAAAAAAAAAAAGGGAAATTCTCTTTGGTGAACTCGAACTTTTTAAATTTCTCAGTGGTAAACGTTAAAAAAACTTATTGTCAATGGTAAACCCTAATTATCTTACTAACTCATTGGTAACATTAATGATGATTTTATATAACTATTTGTCTAACCCTAGTTAACTACAGCATTAATGACTAACCTAACCTTATAAATTGCTTTCCCTCCAAAACGAATTTCCTAATTCCCTGCTAAAAGATTCCCCCAATTTCCCTCTTTATATAAACCCTAATTTACTAAAACTAATTCATTTCTCTCTATGTTCTTAAAAAGTTCCCCCCAATTACAATGAAAAATTCTCGATCTTCTACTGCTAAGAAGCCTATCACCATGGATGACAACATTGCATGGGTGAAGCATACTCGCTGCGACTGTTCCCTCCCCAGTTGCTGCTGTGATGATTTCAGAGACAACTAAAAACCCACGAAGGTTGTTTTTCAAGTGCAGAAGTTGCGATTTCTTTGCTTGGTTGAAGGAAGGAGATATAATAAGGGAAGGAGAGGAAATGGAGATTGAGCAAGGTGGTAGTGTTGCTGTTATTGATATGCTTGATGACTTGATAAATTTTATCAAAATAATTGTGAGGGTGGCCCTGATTATGTATTTTGTTCTTTTTTTGTAGTTGCTAAGTGATTAAGGTGGGTAGAATGGTGGGGGTGCGTTTGTAAGAATTATGGTGTTTAATATAAGTGGTGTATTAGGGAAACCAATGTCAACTTATGTACTGGATTTTAATGAATAAAAGCACTATGTTTGATATATTGTGTTTGCAATTTCTGTTAATGAATTATCCAAACTTTTGCTTAAATCCAAAAAAAATTGAAAGTTGACAGCAATGTGTAATGGAATAAAACTTGACAACAATGTTGAATATAATTAAGCACAAAATTGGCACAAAAAATAGCATATATATTGTTTAGTTGGCAGAATCAGTGATCTTTATACAAAGCTTCATTAATGTTGTTACCTTCAAGCTAAGCAAGGTCAATACTAGTCCGCATCTATCTACACCCAAAGTAGCATTGAAGCTATCAACAAAGTTTGATTTGTTGACATCATTTTTGATAGCTGAATTGAAAGCACGCTTTGTCCAAGTTGATTGTGGTCCAACATTTGCAAGCCACACCAAAGCTTCAGGATTTGTCTTCTGTAAAGTTGTCATTGCCTTCTTGAAAATAAATGGATTGTATGCCCCACCACTACAAGAAAACAACTGGATTCCGACGGAAAAATTCCGTCGGAAACACGCCTTCCGACGGAATTCCGTCGGAATTAGTCTGTCGCAATACACTTTGTAGGAAATTCGACCTTTTCCAACGGAAATTCCGTCGGAAGGCGTGATTCCGACGGATTTAATTCTGTCAGCGCTGTTTTTGACTTTAATTGAAATTCCGTCGCAATTTCAGACGAAAATTTCCGTCAGAGTTGGATAGGTTTCCGACGGAAGTTTCCGTCGGGAGAGGAATATTCCAACGGAAATTTCTATCGAAAATGTCAATAAAAAAAATAAAAAAAACAGCCCCCCACCCCACCTGCCCAGACCACCCCCACCCACACCCACCCAAACCACACCCACCGTATCTCCACCTCGCCACCCCCACAACCACCATATCTCCACCTCGCCACCCCCACAACCCACAAAATCGAAAATCGAAACAAAAAAAACAAAATCGAAACCACAAAAAACACAAAATCGAAACAAAAAAAAACCAAAAAAACGAAATCGAAACCACAAAATCGAAACAAAAACCACAAAATCTAAACAAACAATTTATATATTACATAGTCCGAAAATCCGAAAAATTACAAACTTACATTACAAAATTTAAAAACTTATATTACAATTTCATCAAAAAAATAATTATAATCATAAATTTGTGAAAAATAAACCTAGATCTACAAACTAACCAATATTTAACCTATATTTTCGGCCTTCTACGGTGCTTGACGGTGGACGACGCAACGACTGGTGGTTGAAGGTGTTGTTGAGCGGCGGTGGTTGTTGCAGTTGTGGTTGTTGTTGTTGCGGTTGTTGATGTTGATGTTACGAAGAGACATAGAAAGAAAGAAGGAGAAAGAGGAGAAGGAGTAAGGAAAGAGAAAGGAAAGAAAAGAAGGAGAAAGGTGATGGAAAGAGAAAGGAAAGAGAAACGTAAAAGAAGAAGGAGAAGAGAGGAGAAAGAAAGAGAAGATAGGCGGAGAGAAGAGAAGAGGAGAGGAGAGAGAAATGAGAAATAAAAGGGGGGAACTGGGGTTTTTTAGGGTTAGTTTTTTTTATTATTTAATTATATTCCGACGGAATATTCCGTCGGAAATTTCCAACAGATTTTATTTCCACTGGATTTTTAATGTTTCGACGGAATAATCCGTCGGAGATTTTATTTCCGTCAAAACATAAAATTTTCGATGGAATATTCCGTCGAAAAGCCCATAAATTCCGACGGATTTTTATTCCGTAGGAAATCCGTCGTAAATTTCCGATATAATACAATTCCCTCGGAATTTACTGGATTTCCGACGGAAAAACATGTCCGTCGGAAATTGTCCGTCGGAAATTGTCCGTCAGAATTCGGCCTATTTCTAGTAGTGCACAAGCCTTCCAAAAAAGCTAGAACATTAGCAATCTAGGGAAAGAGCCCTTAAAATTCTTCACTAAATGTTTACAGCAGTATCTTCTTCCCACTTTTGGCCATAGATCAGATAAGGCAATGTCAATACCCTAAAGAAGCAAGTGCACATGTGTTAGTAGCAGCAACTATAGAATATAAGCAACCATACATAGAAAGTTATGTAAATATGAAGTCAAAATTTGTTACCTTTTGTCTGTCAGACATTATGCACCATTCATCACCCCTCCCAGAGTCTTTTAATGCATTCTTTAAATGCCAGATGAAGAATTTCCAGCTCTCAATGTCTTCAGCACCCACAATTGCCCATGCAACTGGAAAGATCTCATTATTTCCATATATGGATACTGCTGAAAGTAACACACCACCATAATTTCCCTTAATATGGGCCCCATCTACTCCAATTAAGCTTCTATAACTAGCTTTTAACCCATCTAATGCAGCCTGAAAAGCAATAAAAATGTTGCTGAATAGCAAAAGGCTCTCTGTGTGGGGTCTGGTCCAAGCAACATTAGCAATAGAGTCTGGGTTTAGCTCTTTGATAACATCACAATACATAGGCAAGTGTTTGTATGACACATCATGGCCACCATGTATTTCATCTAATGCCTTTGCCCTAACTCTGTATAATGTGCTCTGTGCCATGTCAAATCCATATCTCTGCCATAACAATTCATTCAGGGACTTAGTAGGGATGTCATTATTAGCCCTGATATCATCCAGCAACACTCTCTTAGCCCACTTCACATTCACCATAGGGTTCCTGGTCTCAA